TTTAACATATAAATATTGTATTTCTTCACCATTAACATACACTTAGGAAATTATTTATTATCAATTAGCTCATTTCATTCTCTTCTCCATTATACTTGTTTTTCAAACTCAAAACATTATATTTGAAGATTTAGGGTTTAAGAATGTTAAAATCAATTAGTTTTGAAGCCTTACACGCCATGGATGATACTAAGATGGTTTTTCAATATAAAAATTAAAAACGTTGATTTAAACATTGAAAAGATTAGTTTATGACTTAGGTTGCGTTTGGTTGTGTTTTGTAAATGTGATTTGAGAGTATGAGTTGTATTTTGAGTTTGTGTGTTGTAGAATTATGATTTGAGTGTAGAAAATTTGTTTGGTAAAGAGTTTTTGAGAAGAAGAATGAGAGTGGAGAGTATTGACCATTGAAAAAAATATAAATATAAAATAATAAATAAAATTAAAAAAAAAAATAAATTGGATACTTCTTTGACATATCCCTCAAGTATCCCTTGCATATCCCTTCCATATCTAAAATTTTAACAAAATAAAAAAAAAAAAAAAAAAAAAAAAAAAAAAAAAAAAAAAAAAAAAAAAAAAAACTGTACAACAGAGGACATCCGAGTGGATGTCCCCAAGGACGTCCGGGTGGTAGTCCCTAGGGACGACCGGGCGGTCTTCCCCTGGCCAAAAACAATACAAGAAACGCGCAAAATGGACAGAGCTTTCGGCAGAGTTTTGGAAAATTAATTCCAGAACTCTTACCAAACATGGAGCTGAAACTAGCATGTAGAATCACATTTCAAAAGCACAACCAAACACAGCCTTAATTTTTTATTTATCTTATTCGTATGTTAGGAAGATGACATTCATCGTGTTTGGATAACCAGAGTTAAACTTTTACATAATGTTCGATTATTTTTATTTGAACAAAATAATTTTATTCAAATTATTAAGATTGACCAAATATTAAATATTCATGAATATAAGTTAGTTCGGTTAAAATAAATTAAACTTTTATTCATTGTTCAAATATAAATTTTTGAACACATTAAATTAGTTCAACTCTGTATTTATGAATGTGACCAATTTGATGAATTTGAAACGACGATAAGAGAGAAGAGTTCAAGACCAATGAAGATCAACACCGATGAAGATAAGGTGATCTGAAACGATGAAACGACAAGATGAGACACGATAAGAGTTTAACATCAACTACAGAGATCAACACCATTGAAGATGGAGGTTGAATGAAGCCTTCGTTAGTGATGGAGATTAAGATCGACGAAAATGGTTTCTGTTTGGGTAAATTACACTTTGCACCGCTACATTTTATACAAAATCTCACTTTAGTCCCTGCACATCAAATTGTGACACTTAACCTCCAGCACTTTTGGTCAAGTATTACATTGGCATTTCTGTTAATAGTGAGGCTAACAGAAATTATCTTTTAGGGAATTAAGTATCACAATTTTGATGTGTAGGAACTAAAGTGAGATTTTGTTTAAAGTGCAGGAGTGCAAAATATAATTTATCCTCATATGTTTTTCATATGACTAACCTCTGTTAACAATGAGGCTAACAAAAGAGCTAAAGTGACACTTAACCAAAAGTGCAAGGGGTTAAGT